TGTGTTGCCGCAATGAAAATAAGGCATAACTGGTTACAGAAATAATCACTTCTGTTTTATTTATCACTTTAGATTTAACACATACTATCTTGTTTTTAGATGATATATATTTTACTTCATAGTCTGTCATATTTTAGATTAACACTTGCACAGGTAATTAATGCACCATTATAGCAGTGTATGTCACATTTTTATGGGTTATTTCATCTTTGTTATGCTAGTATTTTATCTCATCTATCTGATTTTACTTTGGTGTTGTATTTTTTTTTTTAATTTTTGCTGGTCATTGACTGAATAAATTATTATGTATATATTGACTTGAACCAACAAGATGCAAATTCAAATTTTCTTTCATTACTGAAATCATACTCTCAGCCTAATCCACAGAACATTGTTGATGTAAGTAAAAGAGTAGATTATGCACCTCACTTCACCACCTTGAGTAGTGGGTGGGAAAAATAGATACTTAACAGTGGCCTGTATGGTTTACCTGGCATGGCTACAAAGTTGGAGGAATTTCTTTACCATTGACAACTCTTCTATCTATTCCCAAGATACTTTTACTTTTCTTTTAAAACTAGTATAAGTAATACTACTTGCAGCAACAGTAGAAAAGAAAGATTAAAGCCAGAATAAAACATGGAGAAGATTTGCAATTCAGAATCAGATGCAGGAGACAAGTTCAGTGTTTGAATAGGAGCAAGATTAACAGGACAATGTTAAGATGCAGAGGGGGGAAAAAGTTGGGATCAGGAGAGTCAGGACTGAAATATTCTGTTGTGAAAATACAAACACCTATACCCTCTTGATCTGATAGGAATACGTGTGCTTCCTAACGTTACATATCTAATGGCAGAGAGTCATAACCAATTAGAATTTTTTCTGGCAAATGGGTGTCTATCATATTTAAGAATCAGAAGCCAGTGCAGAATTAGCCCCACTGGACTGTGGCCTGAATGTTTAATGTAGGAAGCACACACAAGGGACATGTGAGTAATTTTTAAAAAAGCTCTTTTCAACTAACTTAGGAGTACAAGAGAGAGAAAAAGACAAGGGGAGAGGGGCTCATGAAGTCTGTCAACATACTTTTCGTGGATCCCAGAGTTGGTAAGATCAAAATCTGAGGAGTCTTTTTACATTCTGAGGAGGACTGGGATCTTTTAAAAGGCAGAATAGATGCCTCGGATGTTTAACATATCCAAATTACTCCTTAAAACTCTTGATACCTTCTCTCAAAACAACCTTGGCCCCAAATTCTCACATGTCACACAAAGCTTGGTGTACCCCTTGAGCAGTGAAAGCTGTGAAGTCATGAAATAATCAAACCTTCTATGTCACTACTGCTATTCTGACCAACATTTATGTTCCAGAATTTCATATAGGAGTTTTTCTAAGCCCTACTTGGAAATACCAAGGATCTTGTCTAGGATACAAGCAAGTGCTCTCCTAGCGAGCAACCATTTTTCTCCTGTTACCCACATATTCCACTTTTCCTAAATCAGTAGTAGACAACATTTTTCCAGCATAAGCCATTTTTTTCCAGCTTCTGAAAATGATGTGGTGATGTTACAAAAAAAGGTGTCCCAGATTTGCTGCCTTTTTCAAGGTTCTTGTTGTTGAGAACTTAATGATGCAAAATTAGTGGTTCATTTTTAAAGAACCATTAAAGAAAAAAAGGCAAAATATTATACTATTGAATTTCACCCTCACTACATGAGAATATTCTGGGAGCTTTATACAGCTCACAAGCCAAGGGTTAATACTACCCACACACACAGACACACACGCTAGACCTTCTAATCTCAAAACAGTCAGGCTGGCTCACTATCTCTGTTCCTGGCCTGTCTGACTTAAAGCTTCTACAGCTTTCTTCTCCCTGATGGCATAAAGCTCAGTGTTCTTCACATACATGGCTTTCATTTTAATGGAATACTAAGCAGCCACCAGACCTCCAGACTGCCTCATCCAGGAAGTTCTTGAAGAATCTGGGAAAAAAATCCATACACCTACTTGGCTTGGATTCTTTTCTGCCTTCTCAAAAGAGGAGCGAGAGTGAAAAGAAGTGCAGTCAAGTGGAAATGGTTGGAGTGCACTTAGAGAAGTTTAGCCAAAAGGAAAAGGATAGCTGATGGTGGCTTTTTAAAACATTATTTTATTTCCTCAGAAAAAAAAAAAATCCTCCAGAAGTTAAAACTGTTTTAATCAGCTGAAAAACATACGTGGGCTTTACAGCTTGGAGACAGCTTGCACGGGCACCGATAAATGCCTATCGCTCATTTGCATACGCTAACAGCTACACTTTAATCAGCCTCCTAATCCCTGATGGTATTAATGAATTTTTTTATGCTCTCTCTCTCTCATACACACAACCCCCTCCCCTTTTTTTAGTATCATGTTTGCTAATTCAAAAATGATCAGCGGCTTCTGTGTGCCTTTTTTTATGCAGGAAATAATGGGTGAGCTCAGTACTCCTGTTATCCCACTCTCACAAATAATTAAGACTACAAAGAGTACAAATCAGTCTGAATGCACTGCACAAAGGCTCAAGCTATGCAAAGGCCCCTCTTTCTCTCTCTCCTTTCTCTTCATTTATTCTCTTCTTCTGACAAGAGGTGGGTCGGAAAGATAATCAGCAAACTGACAAACTGGCCAATCCCAAATATCAGACATACAAGCTATTTTAAGCATTTATGCCAAGGGACCAGTCACATTTATTTTCCTCAACAGTGCCTCCTTGATTTATTATTTGAAACCATTTTGTCTTTGGAGACACATGGAGGATAACCAAGTATATAACCTTCTCAGAAGTGATCTTTTCCTTCATATTCTGCAAAAGGGGCTCTACCACAGGCCCATACAATTGCTGATGTGCAACATTTACCTAGGAATGTGTACTTGGAAGAAATTCCACTCATCTCCTTTGTACTATCCATAAATAGATTTGCAATATCCTAATTGCTATAGAAAAATGACCTTCAAAGAAAGTAATTGAAGTCAGTGTTCCTCACCTGCTTTGAAGAAACTACAGAGACCCTGAAGAGAAATATTCACTGCTTCTACTGGAGCACCTATATCTAAGGATGCATCTCCATACAAATTTTCTGAGCTGCAAAGCAGCACTGTAGCATTAAATTGAATGAGCAAAAAAATACTCCAAAAAGAGTATTTCTCATTTTATTTCTGTAATGGATGTTTCTAAATGGAATGCTCGTTGTAGTTCTAGTCCAAATACATTGTGCAGTTATTCCATATTTTGCCTCCTTAACAGGTATTTCAAGAAAAAAAACCATAAGTGGTTGGAATGGGTAAAAGGCTTCCAATTGTGATTTCCATGAATTAGGTGGGGCAATTGCACAATGACCTTTCGCACAAATACACAAAGTTTAGGGCCCTAATTTTCAAAGTGAAATTGCATAAACTGCAGCTGCAGCTTTGGGTCATGAACCATATCCATTAGGTTAATGGATAGAGCATTAATTAAAAAACACTCTGTACATAGTGTGCCACAATGGGTTTTTTCTCTCTCCAGATATACTTGCTCTCATCTGTAGATTCAAAAGAACAATAGTGCTTGTGGAACTTCTATGTGTATCCTCTCAAAATGGAATCCATCACTGGAATAGTGAGCTTCTTGCCTGCTGCAGTTCTTATGGATTTCTGCACTAGATACTTCCCTCTACATGATGAACTTCAATCCCCAAAATATTTTGCTGGTTGTTTTGAAAACCTAGCCTCCATTGTGCATGACTTCAAGAGCAATCTCCTTTGTTCTGCTTATATTTGTAATTGCAAAAGGAGAAAAATAGAATAGAATAGAATAGAATAGAATAGAATAGAATAGAATAGAATAGAATAGAATAGAATAGAATAGAATAGAA